CTGTTTGGGGTGAGATTCTTTTAGCCTATTTTTAGGGCGGCAATTGATATTTACGAGATTGTATATTATAAGACCATTTATCATTGTTACAATTAGGTTCACAATCACTCTAAGCCATTAGATGCAAATTGGATGGGTTGAAATGTGTCATAAAATTAGAAAAATTTTCTTTTAAAGTTTGAGTCTAGTAAGTGATACATTTACGATCATCCGATTTAAAACTGATGGACAAAGGGATTGTGACCCCCTTGTATTACAAGTAAATGGTATCTTTTTATATGTTTATTTATTTAGTTGAACTCCAAGATAGATGAATATGATCTACGAATTTTAGGGTCCTACAAACCCATGTAGGCTTTCTTTATGGAAGTAGGTCTACATTTTGCTCCCATTAAACATGCAATATTTTTTCATGAGTCCAATTCAATAGACATCGCACCACATCTTCTTTTCTTTTTTCTTTTTCTTTTTTTCTTTTTTTTTCTTTTTTTTTGATATGTTAATGGTGGCAATGGATGACATGATATTATTTTTGAGGCATGAGGGCCTCTAACTACCGAAGCTCCAAACCCATTCCCAAAAATCGTACTAGTTCTCCTTTTAAGCTATTTCTCATCAGACAAGGAGCCAATGTAGGTTTGATAAGCAATGCCACCTTTCATGGATGATTTTGTTTTATTTTTTATTTTTATTTTTTTGGGTAATTTAGTGGAAAAGACAAGCCCTGCTCATTTTTTCAAATAGTTTAGGTGTGAGGTCTTTTGATGCGTGCATTCTTCACATAGGAAGTACTCATATTGGTTATCAGCAAGCATTTATTCCCTTTCCCTCAGTACATGGAGGAAATGGAAATAAGGCCATCAAACGCATTTAACTTATAATTATGGAAATAAGGCCATCAAACTCATTTAACTTTGGCCTAAATTATCCATAGTAGTTTGTTGAATCTTTGTTTTTCCAAGCCCATTTGTTTTGTAATCCATTTACTGATATGAAAATTTATGATAACATTGTATACATCTAATTTTAAACAGTAAAACAACATGAATTTTAACACTGTGTAATTACTACTAATGTAAGTTTCATGGACGATTATCTGTTAAGTGTATATTTAATTGATACACGAAACTTCTAGATTAGTACCTCGCAAGATGCCACCATTTGGCGATCTAGGCCTCTTATTTTATTTCTCTTTTCTTTATTTCATGATGTTGCACAAGTGCCCATTGTAGGGTTGTAAAATAATAAAATGTAATATGTTTTATTTTTGTTAATAAAAAATGGGCAGGTGACCTTTTCCCCACTGATTTATCTCAAAAAAAAGAAAGTTGATTAATTGAGAATGAGCTCCATAATTAATTGAGAATGAGCTCCATGTTGGACTTCAAGGGTGAGATGTACATAAGGCGTCAATCTTAATCACAATAAGGCATATCTCTAAGTCTTGATAGAAGATGTAGTTCGAGTGTCGTAAACACTTATGATGGTCTAAAAATCTATTTTTACACCCGATTATGAATTTAAAGCTCCAAAAATATTATAGATTGAGCATATCTATAAACACTATACAACTTTAAAAATGGATGGTCAAGATAATATATTACAAAATACATTATTTTTAGGACCCGATAATTTTTTTTTCCCATATATATACAACTCAAGGTCCAGATAGTCAATTCTAGGGTCTTTGAGGTTCACCTTATTTCTACAATATAAGGTTGAATATAGAAGGAATGCTTTGGAATTAATGGCTACAATTCCAACCCACTAATATCACTTGTTTTCGTGTTTTCTTAATCACCTCTCCACTCCACTCGATAGGTCCTTTTCCTTGAAACAAGTTCCCACTACCTCTTGACTTGTCAGTTCTTTCTCTTATTTGCTTTCCTTTTGTGGCACTACCTTCTTTAGATTCCTGACTCATTGGTACCCCTCTCATATTCCCTGTTTCTTTCAAAAACTTAGTGACTCTCCTTTTCCTTCCATTTTCATTGTTTTTGCTTTTCTCAAAAGATCTAAAACAGGAGCATATTGTTCATTAGGAAAGGGATGACAACACCTCCATACCTAATTATCACGTTGTAGTTTTCAATCCTGTTGACACCACGCATTGAATTGGGTCGGGAAAATAATAATAATAGGGAGCTAATGTTATGGATAAGATTTAATGGATCCACCCATCCAAATTGTTAATTTGGACCCATGTGTCAAACTCCTAGGAGTGTTCGATGGTTACACTAACCAATGCCGCATATATGAGATCTAACCCGATTGTTAGAACATGAATGAGAACTGTTTGTCTAAAAAGCAATAAGGTATTGGCAAACTTTTAAGACTTACTTAATATTAGTTGAAAAGATATAGTGACTTATGATCTAATTCACGATAAAATATCGATAGAACAAATGCCGAAACATGATTTGTATAGCTAACCTTAACTAGTTAAGATAAAAAGCTAGGATGATGATGATAATAATAATATTAGAGGACAATATTTAAATAGGGATCATATATTATGAAACATTTAATTTTCACACCCCTTGCACCATCCTTAGCCATCAGATGCCACCAAGGATGAATGCGATTTTTTGTTCCTTTGCTCAAAGTCAAGGGTGGGCCGCGGGGGGGAATAAAGGAGATCTCATTGCATGCATTTTCTACTTATTATTATTGTTAATTTGCAATTTTCTCGTTTATTTTCAGTCTTTCTTTTTTTCATAGTGACCAAACAAAAAGGTTTTCTTGATTTTTATGCAAATATTAGAGATAACGCATGATTTCTAATACATAATTTCTAAATACCGGCGATCCGGATCGAGAATTGCGGATCTGGACCAGATTCACACCAACCTCACTCTTTGTTGGAACCGAGAATCGGTCCGATATCTATGGACTTGCGTAGTTCTGTTACAGCGAATCTGTCAAGAAACTAGGTTGATCTAGACCTATTGGGATCGCCGGTTCCCATATATTATATTTCTATTATTTTTCTTTTTCCATTTTTTATTCTTACGGACCGATTCTCACGCAAGAGAATCAGTCTCTTCTCCTTTTGCATTTCTCTTTTCTCGTCAATTGCTTGTATTCCTCGGCTTCTTCCTTTCTTTACTTATTATTGTAGTTTTGGAGCTTTGCTCTTTTATTTAATGAAAGTAATAGTTAAACATTCAACAAACAAAAAAATTATAGCTTTTAGGAAGTGCAGTAATAAAAAATGGGTGCGGTTTCTATAAAGCTGAGTCTCTAAACAATCAAAGTAAAGCACATCTTCAAATAATGTTGAGAAATATAGTTTCAATATTGGAAATTTTTGTGATAGCCTTAAAATATATTGTCATATTTAATTATAAAATTTAAAGCTTAAAAAATAGTGTAGATCGAGTAGATCTATGAAAACTTAAAAATCATGAAAATTAACGGTCCAAAAATGTATTACAAGATGCACTATTTCCAAAACTTGAAATATAATTTTTTCTCATGACTATGCATTTTGATGCCGAGATGATCAATGTAAGATATTTGCGCATCAAAACAACCTCTTCTAATGAAAATTTTGCGGTGTGCCCTAATTTGATTGCTTAGAGCCTCACACTAATTTAAACTTTTTCCTTATGCCAAGTAATTTTGCAAATGTAATCTTTTGCCTGGTTTTAAAAAGGGAAAAAGTTTATATAGAGCCGAGGCTCTAAACAATCAAATTAGGAAACACATCAAAAATTTCACTAAAAGAGGTTGTTTTGATGTCCAAATATCTTCAAATTGATCATCTCAACATCAAGAAGCATGAGAAAAAAAAATGGATTTTAAGTTTTGGAAATAGTGCATCTAGTAACACATTTTGGGCCGTCAATTTTCAAGATTTTCAAGTTTTTATAGATCCGCTCGATCTACACTATTTTTTAAGCTTTAAATTTTATAATTAAAAATAAAAATATATTTTTAAGAGATTTCCAATATTAAAACTATATTTCGAACATTATTTAAAAGTGTGCTTTACTTGATTGTTTTAGAGCCTAAGCTCTATACAAACCGCACCCTTTAGATTGAGTAAAACAGCGAGACGGCCCACCTGCCCACCGTATTGCAAAGTCAGTACATGCGAATATTGCGCGGGATTCCACTTTCTTATGCAAATATTGGGAGGGATTCCTATACAAAATGGTCAACTTTTTGGGGGAAAAGAACAAAAGAAACTCAAAAACCACTATAGCGACCGATAGAAGTAGGGTTATTTCAGATACCGCGCTCAAGTCCTAGGGGTAAATAGGTACTTTCTTTCTCCAAAGTTTTAAGGGGAAAATTGCAAACAATAAAAAAGGATAGACTTTAATTACATTTTACTTATCCAACTTTTTCTAGCAAATACCCCATATACAAGTTCATTTTTTTTTAACTAAAGTACCTTTTCTTTACCTAACAAATTATTTTTTTGATGGGGATGGCGGTTCGGCATTTTAAACAGGCAGTCCACTAATTATTTTTGCTGGAATGGCCGGTCCAGCATTTCATGGAAGCGGTCCGACGTTTCATGGTAGTGGTCTGATGATTATTTTTTGATAGAATGAGCGGTCCAGCGTTTTGAAGTTGCGGTTCATTATTTTGAAGGGCAGTTCGACATTTTGATATGGTGGTCTGAAATTTTGAAGGGCAGTCCGATGTTTTGAGGTAGTGATCCGGTGTTTTGAAGTGAACAGTTCGGCGTTCTATAAATGCTGTCGGACGTTTTCTTTTATTGGAATTAAAAAATAATTTGTTATACGAAGAAAATGTATTTTTGTCAAAAAAAAAAAAAAAAAACTTTGTTTTGTATAAAGGCCAGGAAACACGATTTTTTTGTGGGAAGTTGCTAAAAAAAAGTTGGGTAAAGTGCGTAAAAGCCCATTTTAAGGGATTTTTTTTTTGCAATTATACTAAGTTTTAATTATAGGTATCCGTTGAAACCGGAATTTTAAAAATTCAAAATTTAAGCACTATGCAAAAGAGGCTTTAGACACGCAGCGCAAGGTCTTCGCGCGAAGGCCACGCTATAAAATACGCGGCCCAGTCCGCCGCGAACGACACAGAACTTGCAGCCTTCGCAGTCGGCGCACAAACTTAGGGTTTCTGGTTTTCAATTAGGGAATCAGGGTTTGGCTTTTCAGTTTCAGGATTAGTGTTTTCGTTTTCAATTGCTCCTTTATCATTGCAACGCCCATTTCTAGGGTTTTTCTCATCTCTTTTGAGATCGGCTCTGCGTTTTCAATTGCTCCTTTATCATTTTAACGCCTATTTCTAGGGCTTTTCTAATCTCTTTTGAGATCGGCTCCGAAGGTATGTCTGTGCAGATGTTATTTTCTGGGGGGCTTGAAACAGTTGGGAAATTGGTTTTCATTTTCTTTTTAATCGGGTTTGAAGATTGAAGGTGTTTTTCTATAGCTCTATTTGGACAAATTATGAAGAAAATTGATGAAGTTTCAATGTAGCGTTTAGAAACTCGCCTTGGGCCAGTTACTCGGAGCTGGCCCGAAGTGAAGTACTCGGGCGAGTCTAAGTACTACGCTGGACCAAAAGCCCTTGAAAAATGTTAAAAAATATAAATATAAAAATAAATGAAGTAGTGAAGGTGAAATAAAACCAAAAGAAACCTTAAAAGATCAAGTAAGCCTAAAAAAGTGTATGGAAAATGGATTTGAAAAAGCTGATTGATAGGTGAAATTTTAAAAAATCCAAAAAGGGTAAAATAAAAAAGGGAATATGGCAAAAAAGACTCACCAATCTTTGCCAATAGAGACCCAAATTATACATACAATTCCCACATCTTTCTATTTTTGGATATTTTTTCAATTTTTTATGTATACTGAGTTGTCCATAAAACTTGTCTGTTGAGTCTCGAAACACTTCGATGATCATCTGTTATTTTTTAGCAATTATGTGTTATTGAGAAGTTAGCCTTCATCTATGTTTATGGAAACATTTTTATATTGTAATGGATGATTTTATGGGGGAATTATTTATGCTCGATCTGTATTTGACTTCTAGATTTCCAATTATCTATTTCTCTGTTCTTGGTTATCCTTTTTTTATGCTTTTTATGTGAACCTTGCTGTTCTGTAATGGAAAAAGTTAAAAAGGAATCTTTGATGTTTGAATGGTTATTTATGTATATTTAGGTCTCTTTCTCTGTTTATAAATTTTGACAACTGATGGTATACATAAATTGACACTTTTGTCATTTTGTGCATAAATTTGAAGTATACTTGGTAGTTTTTGATATTCACAAGGTGATCTTTAATTTGTAGGGGTTTTCCTGTTTCTGAGGGTTAATCCATGGAAGTCATCTGCATATTTGTCATGTTTTATTTCTTATTATTAAGTTGGTGAAACTATTATATTTGGTGGTAATGGTTTGATTCCTGGGTTTTTCTGTTATTTGTGCTACGGTTTTGAAACTTTTACTTAGTTTCGAGTTTTTTGTTCTCTTTCTCTGGGTTTAGCTTTTGAAGTTTTCTGATTTTTACGCTGTTGTTCTTTTTTGAAGTTATGATTTATAAGCAACAATTGGTATATATTTAGGTTTTTATATCTTTTTTTGCTTTTTTTCTTTTCGGGTATAATGAATGGATTTTATGTTCGGATGGAAGTTTTTTGACCTTCATGTTTTTTTGCAACTCTAGTTTTTGACATGTTTGCATATTTTGTTAGGGTAAGTTTGGGTTTGGAACTGAACCGTATGTTTGAGACAAGGAGATACGTACTGTTGGGTTAATGTGCTTAGACCCAGTGTCCCTGCATATTGATGAAGTTTATTGATTCTGGTAAAGCTCAAGGATTTTTATTTTGGTTCATTAACTGTCTTATTTTATTTTGACAATTGGTTGCTTCCTGGAAGTTTATTGGTTTTTGTAAAGTTTGAAGATTTTCAAGTTTTGGCTTTACTCTTTGTTTTATTTTGACAATTGGTCGGTTCCTGGAAGGAGGAAACTGAGGCTTGTGGTTCTGCGAATGTTGCCCATTTTGTCACTCCAGGGAACTGTGAGAAATTCATCTTGAAGTTGGTATTAGTAATTATAAATGAAAACTGATGTGATTCTTGATATTCTACATCTATTTTAATACTGGAAATTTTTTATGTTGGATTGTCTTAGTGAGGTGATTATGTTCGGAAGGCTCTAATAGGTTTCCTTTATGTGCTTCTATATGTACTAGATAACTTCATATGTCGGAGCCATTTGTCCCTCTTAAAGATTACACAATAAAGTGTTGTACTTGAAGGAGAATGGAAAGGACTCCTTAAAATTTTAATAAGCAATTAAGAACAGAATTGACATACTTTTTTTTTTTGTACTATACAGTGGGATCTAGCAATACTGTCTTAAGATGGTATCTGAATTTTTTGCCTTGTATATTTTTTTCTGGTATGCAGATTCACTGAAGGAAGCTTGACTTGAAGAAAGGTTCTTGTTTGGCACTAAAAATTACAATTTGGAGTAGACATCATTGCTTATTTGCCCCTGACTGTGGTTTACAAAGTCTGGCTTCCATAAAGTTGGGTTTTATTTAGAAGGAATCTAATTTTTTTGTGAATTGGAATTGAGATGGTGAGTAGAGCATTTTGCTTGAGATTTATGGAGAAGGAAATGGAACCTGATGGAAAAGATCTTAAGGAGCCACTGCTACAGTATTCACAGAGTACTGTGGTCCCTCTCAATCAGCCACCTATAAATAAAAATGATGATACAAGAACACTTGTTTTCAGAGTCAGAGGCATTGAATGTGCTTCTTGTGCCGTATCCATTGAATCGGCAGCTAAAATATTAAGAGGGGTTCACAATGTCTCAGTGTCACTCCTTCAAGGCAAGGTTCTCATCAATTATGCCCCAAAGTTTGTGAATGTAAGTGGAAACTTCTTATCTTGATGTCCTTATCCTATAAGATTAGCAAACAATGGCTTGCCATCATGGTAATTGACATACCCATACTTTTGAGTTTTACCTACGGAATGTTGCTTACGAAAAAGAGAACTTTCTAATTATCTATGATTAAGTTGGTCCTTCTGAAGAATTAGGTGGACCATTTTAATATGCTTTTTTCACATAATCCTCAATTCCCCATTGCTATCAAAACTGGACTGGACCGGCAGGTCCAACCAGTCAGACCGCTGATCGGTGCCTTGGCCAGTCTGGTCCTCAGCACGTATAAGTTTTGACTGAAAACTCGTCAAAATAAATGTTTTACCTGTTTTGCACGGTCCGCCCAGCTGGTTTTGACCTGTTAGACAGACTAAACAATGTTAGGCTGGGTTAAGGGGGCTAGACCCCTCACTGGTTAGGTAGCCCGTCTGGTTATATTATCACTACATTTTCCTCTTCATTTGTGCACTTTTTTTTGTTGTGTCCTTGTATCTTCTTCCCAACATCCGACATCACTGTGTAAGGCATTCTTATTGTATCTGCGTGTTTGTCAAAATTAGAATTTGTGCCTTTATTTCTTTGGGTTATGTTGCATAGTCTTTATGGTATTCTTATTGTATCTGTCCGCTTGTAAAAGTAGAATTTGCTTTCTTGGAATTATCTTCTTATTATACTCAAATTCATTTGATAGCGAGTTATGGATGATTTAGGCATTTAATAATTTTGGTATTAGACTTCACCAAGGGACATGCTTATTGACTACCTACATATAACGTACGTCACTCAAAGAGTAAACCTTTATATTGAGCATGTGTTGAGCTCCAATTCTCTCTGGACATTGCTGGTGCCATCATATTATGTTCCATTTTTCCTAGTTTATCTTGTTCAAACCGTTGGTTCCAAGTTTAAGAACAGCTCAATGATAAAAGGAAAGGTTAATTGTAAGGTGTCTGTCATCGTAATCAACCATAAGAGAAAAATATATTATAGAATGGTTTTCATAGTTACTGAAATCCAAATTCAAGTACACTATGCCCACAAAATTACGTTTTAGTTCATTTCATTTTTCCTTAAAGTTCTGTCTTGGAGTTGGACAGATCCAACTTATTGCTGAGTGGCTTGGGCCACACATTGCTTGTAGATATGCTTTGGAGATGCATTTGACATGGTGTTTTATGTTCCTTTTCTTCTTTTTATGTTTGTTTTTGTGCATATCTTCCTGTATGCAATGGTTGCTTTTTTGAGCTCCCTCCTGCTTTGTCTACTTATCAAGTGCATATTATGTAAACATTCATTTGGAAATTCTGTCAAAGATTGTATTGAAAATAAGTTTACTTATTTATGTATTCATGCTGTAACTGTTAAGGTGAATGCAATTCGAGAGGCCATAGAAGAATCAGGTTTTGAATTAGAAGAGTTTGCTGAACAAGATGCAGCAGTTTGTCGAATTCAAATCAAGGGAATGACATGTACTAGTTGCGCTGAATCCATTGAGCGAGCCCTTCACAAGGTTGATGGAGTGAAGAAAGCAGTGGTCAGTTTTGCTCTTGAAGAAGCAAAGGTTCACTTCGATCCTTACACCATTGATTCTGACCATATTGCTCAAGCTATTGAAGATGCTGGCTTTGAAGCTGATCTTATCATCTCAGGCGATGAAACGAATAAAGTTCATCTCAGACTTGAGGGCCTCACATCACCCCAGGAAGCCACCCTCATTCAAAGCGCGCTTGAATATGTGATTGGTGTAAATCAGGTAGAGATGGATCCATCAGGAAACAAAGTGGCCGTAATATATGATCCAGATCTTACTGGTCCAAGATCCTTGATACAATGTGTTCAGGAAGCTGGTCATGGCCCTTACTTCTATAAAGCAAGTCTATACACACCCCCTAGGCGAAGAGAAATTGAGCGGCAAAATGAAATTCGCATCTATAAGAACCAGTTCCTCTGGAGCTCTGTGTTTTCAGTCCCTGTATTTCTTTTCTCCATGGTCTTCCCAATGCTTCCTCCATTTGAGGAATGGTTGGGCACTAAACTCTACAACATGCTTACCATTGGGATGGTTTTGAGATGGTTCCTTTGCACTCCAGTGCAGTTCATCATCGGGCGAAGGTTCTATACTTATCTGACATTTCATGTTACACCATATCTTTTATTTAGTTTTAGAAACCATATTTGAAAGGCCCTTACTTTAGCATTGAATGATGGAAATTCCCTGTAGATTTAGAATCGCAAAAATACCCATGAAACAAAGAGGCTGAACCCTGAGGAATGGTTGGTTAGCTTTGTCGGATTTTATGAACAAACTTCTATGGTTTGAATCTAGGCCTCCCACATTTTTTCAAGCAATCATTGGCTCTCAATAATAAGAAAAGTGTTAAGAAATATGATCTATTTTTATTCTATCGGCCTGGTTTAGAGAGTTTATATTGGATGGATTTGTTCCTCATTTTAATTAAGAAGCTGGAACACTAACCTTTTTATTTACATGATGGGATTGATTTGATTGTTAGCTTGTATTTTCATTGGTTATTATAGCTAGTCAACTTTTATATTCCTTGATTTCTTAAAAGTAGAAATGTTTTCGTTTTCGTTTTCGATTTCGATGAGTCTCTGGTAGCCATGGCCGTTATGACACTTCAAAAAATATGAGAGTTGTCATGATTCTCTAGTAAGCTGGGGTTTAGAGTAAATAACTGGAAATGTTTGTTTTGTCATTTATTCCTTGAGTTCATCAATGTTCTTATCGTGTTCCCCGAAGCTGATTTCTAGGTATGTTTGATCAGGTTTTACACTGGAGCTTATCATGCGCTCAAACGTGGATCAGCCAACATGGATGTACTGGTTGCTTTGGGTACCAATGCTGCTTACTTCTACTCGGTTTATACTATTATAAAAGCGTTGACCTCAGTTTCATTCCAAGGGCAGGATTTCTTTGAAACCAGTGTTATGTTGATATCTTTTATTCTCTTGGGGAAGTATTTGGAGGTGGTAGCAAAGGGGAAGACTTCTGATGCATTGGCAAAGCTTACGGATCTTGCTCCGGATACAGCATTTTTGCTGAACTTGGATGCTGATGGGAATGTGGTTTCTGAGATGGAGATCTGTACACAGTTGTTACAAAGGAATGACGTAATTAAAATTGTCCCAGGAGCCAAAGTTCCAGTTGATGGGGTCGTTATAAGGGGTCAGAGCCACGTGAATGAGAGCATGATAACAGGGGAGGCCAGACCAATTGCCAAAAGACCAGGGGATAAGGTTTGCTTATTTTACTAAACATTTGCTTTTTTGATAAAGTTTTTACTTCCATAATGATTTAACTATGACCTGAATTTTAAACAGGTTATTGGTGGAACCATAAATGAGAATGGATATTTAGTGGTGAAGGCCACTCATGTTGGTTCTGAGACTGCATTGTCTCAAATTGTACAGCTTGTGGAAGCAGCTCAGATGGCCAAGGCTCCTGTTCAGAAACTCGCTGATCAGGTTTCAAAATTCTTCGTCCCTTTGGTAAGAACCATCTTCATCGTTACTCTTGATCCTTTATACTGAACTTTGTCCAGAATCATTTGTTTCCTTTTGTTTGTTATTCTGATTTATGTCTTGTAGTTGTCATACATCTTAGTTGTTGAGTAATCCAGGATACTTAATTTCAAAGTTTAAGTTAAGTTTAACCAGCTTCCCCTTTTCACTAGGAATCTTATATTATTCTTTGTTGGGGAAATATATCGGGTAAAAAATGGATTAACATTTTTGCAACCTGGGAAAATTGATCCCATAACCGATGTAAGTGTCATTTAGCATCTAATGTCTATACAGGTTTATGGAGTCAGCATTGAGGATACTTTTATTCTGAGAAGCAAGCTAACCAATCTGTTAGAGGTGCCTTTTTATCAAATATTTGTTAAGAATTGCTTCCTTATGATTTTATTGAGGAAGCATTTATCCACCCTTGTCTCACTTGGTCTAATGTGTTTTGAAATGCATATTTATGGATACACACAATGGTGCTACACATTGCACATGCATTGTGCACATTGAGTGATTTGTGTTGTGCATGGTGCACAATACACAAGACTGAGTACTTAGTGCACTTTTGTAGTGGTTCGTGCGCATGTGTTTTGGGGAATGTAGTGCAAATCCCACGGTATGCACGTGCACAACGCTCTTCATAAGTGTGGGCAATGCGCCTACACTATGCACATGAATAGTGCACATTGAGTGATTTTGTTGTGCACAGTGCACAACACACAAGACTGAGTACTTAAGTGCACTTATGTAGAGCCTCGTGCACATGTGGGGAGATTTTGTTAGTGTGTCATAAAAGTTTTATTTGTCAAACACTGTGCTTAACTAGGTAAGATGCTTTTATAATATCCTGCTTTAAGAAGACTTTCTTTGTAAAGCAAAATTTATATTTTATATATTAGGCCATATTTTTGGTGACTTGAGGATCATCAGTTCAATGTTAAATGGAAAATTTATATGTACAATACCATTTCCTGGGCAAACTTACAATTGATCAAGTGATTTTGTGTCCTTTGGAGGCTATTTTCATGCACCTAGCTGATGATGTAGGTGTCTTGACACTTGTCTGAATTGGAACTTGGTTTGTACATGACTCTCACTAGACCTTTTGTACCTACAATGCTTTCTTAAGTTAAGTTTCCAGTCTCAAGGAACTCTCTCTAGGTCTTGTGCATCATATAGTTAACAAACCTGGATCGGAACCCAGAATCAATTACTAAATGGGTAGGGTCGATCAGGAACTCAATAGATCAACCCAGAAGGTCAAAATTCATAATCTTTAAGCATTATAAAAACTTTAAATTAGACAACGATTTAAAAAAAAAGAAGAGATATCACAGGAATCCCTTCCCAATCTGAGCCTAATATAGTGCAACCCTTTTTAGACTTATTCTCTATTCATATCGTCTTTGAGAGGGAAAAGTCTGATAGAATTGACATGAATTCCAAAGAACTGTCTGGTCAACTCATATGAGTCTCAGTTTGACCAGCAGGGTTTGCGAAATATGGTGTATCAGTTATTAAACATGTCTTATTGCCTCTTGACTTTTTTTTTTTTTGGGAAGGGGAGGGCAGAGTGAAAAGGGGTCCGTATCCACATTTTATATTGCTGGAACATCCCCCTCTTCTGTGATCTGTGGTCTTATTCTGAAAGCTTACACATGCTATTCATCATTCTATTGGTCAGATCCATTACTGTCCATCACGCATATGTTAATTATGTTGTTTTCACTTATCAAATTTCCTTTTTGGGCAGGTTGTAGTTGCAGCATTTCTTACATGGCTTGTTTGGTTCATCTGTGGGGAGTTTCATATTTACCCAAAACAATGGATTCCAAAGGCCATGGATGGGTTTGAATTGGCACTCCAGTTTGGGATTTCAGTGCTGGTAGTTGCTTGCCCGTGTGCCCTTGGACTTGCGACCCCAACAGCAGTCATGGTTGCGACAGGAAAGGGAGCGTCTCAAGGTGTTCTTATCAAGGGTGGAAATGCACTTGAGAATGCACACAAGGCACGTAGAAATGAGTCTGTGACAATTAGGGTGCAATTAACACCTGAAGAAATACCGGAAATGCACTTGTTATTTCATTCTCTTTTGGATGTGCCAATCATTTTCTAGTTTTCTGCAAGCTTGAATTCAGATAGGTCTTTATATGGGTTTTAGATACATAAAAGCAAATTGTTATTACTATTTCAGGAGATTATAAACATTATCCCCCTAAAAATTGGCATTTTGTAAAACTCTCACCTTAATTTTCATTTCAGGCGGCAAGCAAACTTCCCAAAATTCTCCATTTACCCCTTCTGTATGTATGTGCCCATTTCTCTTTTTCTATAAATTGCCCCTGTAAATATACCAATTCCTCTGAATTACCGAGCCCTAAAGCCTGAAGAGTTTGAATCAAATTACAGAAAATTCTATGTATTACCATGTCCAAAATGGGTGCTACTATCTAGGTCTTTAGGCTCAGAGACTAAATTAAGTTCATCATTGTATGTGTTAACGCTGCTATTTTGCCTAGAGTGTAGTCTCCCAACTATTTGCTACATCAACTGCCATCCTATTCTCTCACGTATCCTCTCTCTCTCTTTAATCCTCTCTTCTAATGCCGTCTCTCTCTCTGAAACCTCACTTCTCCCTCTCTGAAACTCATAAATCTCTTTCTCTCTCTTACACACACACATCATAGACACATTCCAACCTGCCTTAATTTTGTATCTCAACTCCTCTAAAAACAGGGGTTACAGTCTTGGTTAATCGTAGAAGAAAAGCAGAAGAATCCAAATACCAAGAAAAAAAAACGAAAAAAAAAGAAATTTTTTTTTTTTTTACGGGGGGGGGACGGGGGGGGGGGGGGG